AAAAAAAAAAAAAAAAAAAAAAAAAAAAAAAAAAGGATTTGACATTTCGATAACAAACTGGGACTTTGCTGAAAGCAAAGTCCCACAAAAAAAAGAATTGACATTTCGATAACAAACTGGGACTTTGCGGTAGCAAAGTCCCACAACTAGAGCCACTCGTGGCACAGAGTGGGACTTTGCAAATGTAGCAAAATGCAAAAGAACCTGAAAAAATCAACCTTCCACGATAATTAGATCAAGCGCAAGAACGGTGTAAAGTTGAGAAATTTTCATTTTTTAGCAGATTGTAATACCGGAAGTGGACGTCAGACCTCACAAATGAAAGTATCAGCAGATAGCCAAGGTCAATGACCTTTGATCTTGTAATGGAAAAGGTCTAAAAAGGTCAAGATCAAGAGATATACGCCATCAAAATTTCAAATTGCTAACGACTATAAAACCGGAAGTTGACATAGGACAGCAAATATGAAAGTACAAATAGATAGCCAATGCCAATGACGTGTGATCCTACAAAGGTCAAGGTCAACAAAGGTCAAGGTCAAAAATTGAAAATTTTCAATTTCCAAAACCTGTTCCTTTTTTTGAACTAAGAAGCGGAAACAACCCAAATTCTAAGACAACGTGGCTCAAAATATGAGGTAATTGTATGCAAAGTTCCATTTTGAACAAATGTATACTTTGCGAGTTATCCCCCTGGCCAAAAATGTCAATAATGAGTAATCAAACCCGGAAGTGCCACGCCCAACTCAATTTTTTTTGAATAAGTTAATCAATATTCAAAATGTCACGTTATGTTCCAAATGTCAAGTTCCTACATAATAGAGGTCAAAAGATATAGGTCAACAAAAGTCAACAAAGGTCAAAATCGAAAAATGAAAATATCCAAATGTTAAAACCCGTTCCTTTTTTGAAACTATAAAGCTGAAACAACTGAGCTGTTAATACATACTGGCCAAAAGGATGAGGTAATTGTGTGCAAAGTCTCTTTTTGAACAAACGCATCCTATGCGAGTTATGCCCCAGCCCCAAAATGTAAACAATTAATAATTCAACCCGGATGTGCCACGCCCACATAAGTTTTTTTT